CACTTGGCATTTCCATGCCACACACTTGTAAATCAAGTGGCGGGCATCTCTTCAAAGACCTACATGCCATTGGCCCCTGGGGGGCCCTGATTCTTGGAGACAGACCTAGAGTTATGGGACGTGGGCTGGGTAAACCCCCATGCTAGCCAACTGCCAACCAAGCTCCCCGTGGAGAGAGAAATACGGGTGCCCATCGGTCTTGCAGGCGTGTTGTAAGAGTTAGATAAAACACCATGTTTATGAACATTTCACAAGATCAAGTGTTTTGTCAATCTACGTTTAGTTTTGAAAAAACATACTTACAGGTCGCCAGTGACATTGAACCAAAGGAAAGAAAAGCAGCTGTTTTTTACCGAGTGCCCCGTGTATCAGACAGGTCCCTGAACTGTCTGGGGAGTAATGGGTTCTTTAACAAACGAGGGAGGCAGGCTTTTGCTTTTTTCTTTCTTGCTTTTTCTTTTTAAATTGAAGTATGAGTTTATTTTGCTGCAAAAAAGTTTTGAAGTTCATGTTTGTTTGTTTATAGTAACATTTTCCACAAACTTGTGATGACCCCTAACATCCGCCATTTTGTTGAGGAACACCCTACAGCACACACAGGAGGCCAGTCCGAGTCACCCAGCTGGTGGGTGAGGGAGGGTCTGGGACCCTTGCAGGGCAGAGAGCTTCACTTTGACCTGGACTCTGCCTCCTCCAAAGTCGCTGAGAGGATGCTACTCCGGGCTGGAGGGGCCTTGCAGACCTTCCCACGGACAGCGCTCCTGCCTGTGGGCAGCCCTGGGAAGTGCCCCATCCTGGGGGCTGCTGACCGGGCTCTGCAGGGAGGCGGGCTCTGGGGAGATTGGCAGGCCCCACACGTAAGTGCACGCAAGGCTGCCCAGCCTGGAGCCAGAGATGCCGTCCAGGGATCCACTGCCCTCACTGCCCTCACCTGTGGCACGGGTGGGTCGCCCTCCCACCCCAGCTCGCTGGGGCTCTTCCCGCCCTCTTTTCCACCCTCTTCGGGATTCTATGCAAAAACATCTAGAGTAAGAAATGACCCAAACTGGACATAATAGGCCTCAGAGCGCCTGGGCCCACACCAGGGCAGGTGGGGCTGGGGCTAGGGCTGGGACCAGGGCTGGGCCCGCCCCCACGTGCCCTCGCCGGGGACCTGAGGACCGCTGGCCACCGTCTTGGGCAGGAATGGGCTGGGCTGGGCCCTCCCATGAGTGGGCCTGGGGCCATCAACTTGGGATGGTCCAAGAGGACTAACCCTGGTCATTTATTTTCTTCCAAATGTAAAGACTTTGGGCTAAGTCGTGCCCCCTCCCTGCCTCACCCTCCACTTCCCACCTCCCATTGCAGCCCTGTTTGGACAGAGGGCCTTTGGGAGGCCATTAAGGTTAAGCGAGGTCGAGGTCGTAAGGATGGGGTTCCTGCTCTGGCAGAACTGCGGCCTTGTGGGAGAAGGAGAGACAGCGGTCTCTTCGCCATGTGAGCAGGGCGGGCTCTTAGCCGAGCGGGACGCTTGCCAGGACCTCATATGTCTGCTCTCCACCGCCAGCCCCCAGAACTGTGGGGATCTCCTCTGTCGAAGCCAGCGGCCTGCGTGTTTGGGTATGGCCAGGCACCTGAGCAAAGATGAGCCCGCGGGGCCAGTAGCCGAGGGCCCTTGGCCAGGTACGTGCGTCCCCCGAGCCAGGGCTCTGCCCTGGGCCTCGTCCTCCGAACGCCGGGGAGGAGGCGCCGCAGTAGGCTGCTCCGCCCTGCTGCAGCCCACTCATCTGAGCAGCGTTTTGTGCGGATCTTGTGAATTGAAGGAGGTAGATGGGCCAGCAGGTGGTGTGGTGGGTACGGTGCTGGATCCCACATAGCCAAACCCACGGTTCAAATCCTGGACCATGCAGTCTGAGAAACCATGCCAAACGCCTGTGTATGCCTGCCCAAAATCCGGAGAGGAGAATGGAGGAAAAGGGAGCGTGGTGTGGCCATCCTCCCTGGGAGATGACTTCTTGCTTTCTGTCTGACCTTCTCTGGCTCTTTGGTAAGTGCACGTGCCCTATAGTCTCTTATTAAAAAAAAAAAAAAAAAGATAAATGTAAAAAAAAAAAATTAAAATGGAAGAAAATCTGAATTGATATTTATCAAATTTATCAAAGGAAAAGAACTTAATGAATTAGTCAAGAAAATATTAGATTATGTTATTAAAATAAAAATAATTTTATATAGAATTTTTAAAACCTATAGATTTTTAAACAATGTAAAAAGGAAACAAATCAAGTATTAGCAACAAATTGAATAACTAAATGGTTTCAGAGACTTAATATATAGTTTACCACGATCAGTTTTCAAAAATTGATCCACCAGGGGTTGGCAAGCGGTGTGGTGGTTAAGGTGCTGGACTCCCACATGGTTAACTGCAGTTTGAATCCTGGACTTGGCGACTTGCGCTCTCACTTTCCCCCTCTCTCTCTGGTCAAATTAAAGAATAATAATAATAATGAATAAAATTGGGACTGGCAGGTGGTGTGGTGGTTGGGGACACTAGACTCCCACATGACCGACTATGCTTCAAATCTCAGACCTGATGGCTTGCTTTCTCGCTTTCTCATAAATAAATAAATTCTTAAAAAAATTAAATAAAATAAATAATGCTTTTTAAAAATGATCCACCAACGTAAATGAGCAAAAAAATACAAATCGACAGTTTACAAAGAGAAAAGAAGGCAGCTGGTAAGAATGTTTAAGTGCTCAATGTTACCAGTACCCCAAGACTTGCCAGTAAACTCCCACGGTGCTGCTGAGCCCCATCAGACTCAGCAGAGCGGAGTCTGGCAGTGACATGGTGGCTAAGTCTCTGGGCTGCCCTGTGGCCACGGGATCACGCTGGGCACGTGTGTGTGTGTGGCCAAATCCCAACAGGAGCAAGGAGAGAGACTGAGGCACAGCCGTCCTCCCTGGGGGTGACACCTTGGTCCCCTCCCTCCATCTCTGCCATTCTCTGGCTAGTGTACACGCCCTGTAGCAAAAACCTAGAACAGAACAGAGTCATGTGAGCACCCTCCCACGGGGTGCTTACAAGGTCAATGACTGGAATGAATTCTTAAAAACAATGCGTAACGTGTATCAACAGCTTTTTCTCATGGAGTGCCCTGCTGGGAATCTCTCTAAAGAAATAAACAGAGGGGGAACCAGCAGTTAGCGTAATGGCTATGTCGCTGGACTCCCACGTAGTCGGCCGCAGTTCGTGTCCCGGACCCGGTGGCTTAAAACTCACGCCGGGCGCGTGTGCGTGCGTGCCCAAGATCCCGAGAGGATAATGGAGGAGAAGGGATTACGGCGTGACCATCCCCCCTGGGGGGTGATTTCTCGCTTTCTGTCTCTATGTCTCTCTCTGTCTGTCTGGCGAGCGCACGCGCCCTAACGCGCCCTACAGTGAAAATCTCTCAAAAAAGAAATAAACAGAGGGACCAGTAGATGGTGTAGTGGTCACGTTACTGGACTCCCACGTAGCTGCCAGCTGTTCAAGTCCTGGCCTTGGCAGCTGAAAACTCACACCTGGCACATACGTGTGCGTGCATGCCCCAAATCCCAAGAAGAGCATGGAGGAGAAGGGACTGTGGCATGGCCATCCCCTCTGGGGGGTGATTTCTCGCTTTCTGTCTCTCTGTCTCTGTGTCTCTGGCGAGCGCATGTACCCTACAGCAAAAATTTCTCTTAAAAAAAAGGAAAAGAAAAGAAAGATATAGAATGCAGAAAACACTTCATGTATAAAGATTTTCCCCACAGAGGAAAACTGGAAGTAATCGAACGCTCGAAACCGAGGGCGAGTGGCCCTAGCCCGTTCAGAACTGAACTCCTCCTTTCCTTGCAAGACTCACCCTTCAAATCCCCCACTTCTGAGTGCTGGTGCTGAGCTGAACCCCGACTCCCCGGAAGGACCTAGGCTTGGCCAAGACAGGGACCGCGTTTCCTTACACCTAACCTTTAGGGCCTGCTGGGAGGTGGGTATCCTCCTCCCCCAAGCCTGGTGGCTGTGGTTACAACCAAGGGGTGCAGAGGGCGGAGACGCCCAGGCCTGCAGGAATAGTTGAAGACCCTCCCGTTGGCCTTGGCTCCTTGTCTTGGGCTCCTGTCACCACACAGACCCCATGCAGACCGTGATCTGGCAGCCGGGCGTGTTGACCCGAGGATTCGGACCTTCTCCAGCCATTGGGAGCCGTTCTGAGCCCTTTCTAGGACCGAAGCTTACGACAGAACCCTAGCACGTAGCAACGCACAGCGGCCAGGATAATGTTTAACTGTACGGGGGCCACGAGTGGAAGAAAATATACCAAACATTGTGGAGACGATGGATAGTAAACTTTGAATTTTCCATTCAGGTTATGTCACTGGACTCCCACATGGCCTACTGCAGTTTAAGTCCCGGACCCGGTATCTTAAAACTCATTCTGGGCGCATGTGTGTGAGTGCCCAAGATCCTGGGAGGAGAATGGAGGAGAAGGGACTGCGACATGGACACCCCTGGCTGTGTGAAAGCCTCAGGTGACACTGGATCTCACCTGGACACAGATCTGCTTGAATACGGAGTCAGATGCTGGGCACAACCCCGGCATGTGTGTAAGGGAGAAGCCCGGGGGAGCCTCCACCTAATTCTATGACAAGCACACCGCCCCCGAGACCCTGAGGACAAGGGCAAAGGCTGGATCCGGGTTCGGGCCACCCCCAAAACCTCAGGACCCGAGCACATCACCCATGGGGAGGTATTATCTCAGGTGCGGGACATCAGGGGCTTGGCTCAGCATGCCAGAGTAAAACGCTAGAATAAAAACAAAAGCACAAACAAAGCGTAATACTAACATCTACGGTTTAAGGGGCCAGGAGGAGCCATGGTGGTTAAGGCGCTGGACTCCCATGTGGCCGACTGCAGTTCCAGGCTCAGACCTGGTGGCTTGCTTTCTCACTCCCCTCCCTCTGGTGAACATGTGTGCAGAGCAAATCAAAATAAATAAAATTAATTCAAAATTAATCCAACATTTTATTAAAATAATGCTTTTAATTACTGATGCTTTGAAAATGAGAAGTCAGTTCTACTTACAAACTGTTTTTGTTAACTAGAAGCTGATTGCTGGATTTCAGCTAAGCTCATTTTGTAGTTTTCAAATTAAAGACCCATATCTAACCTCTTTTTGCCACTTAAAGGCCTCAATGGCTTGATTCCAGATACTCTCTTTAACAGAAATCGGTATTGGCTTCTGAAATCTTGAATACAGGTGATGAACCAGGACAGCACCTTCCCCCCGCAGCAGCGCCTCAGCATCGCCCACTGATGGTGTACTGACGCAGTGAGGGGTCACCTGGAGACCTGGAGCAGCGGAGGAAGCCTCGGGTCAGCGTTCAGAGCTGCGGCATGGACAAGCTGTGAAGGGAGACTGAGGGGTGGGACCCGGCCCTGGCTAGAGCTGGCCCCGCCTGGTTAACACTGCTGTGGAGCTGGGGCCACATGGCCAGCTGCAGTTCAAATCTTGGCCCTAGCAGCTTGAAAAACAAGGTGTGTGTGTGTGTGTGTGTGTGTTCACTTGCCAAATCCTGGTGAGATGGAGAAATGGAAGGAAAGGAATGGTGGCATAACCGCACCCCCATTGACAAGCTCGCTCTTCCTCCGGTGAGTGCACATGCCCTTTGGAAATGAAAAATAAAATAGAATTGCAGATGGCCCAGCCACAGGCATGCACGCTAAGATACTGTGCTCCACAGGTTAGGACTACGCGGGCATCGGGGTTGGATTCCCGGCCCAGCATACGCTCCAGGCACGGGGGTGTGCACCTGCAACTCCAGCAGCTCAGGGACTGAGGCGGGAAGAGACGAGCTCAGGGCTGGTCTGGGCAGCGCAGGGAGGTCCTGTCTAACCCTGTCTAAAAGGAGCCCGCAGGGCGGTGTGAGCTCATGGATGAAGATGGGAGGCTGAGGCGGGGGACGACCCAACAGACCCTCTTTTTAACACAATTCTAGAAACACACATTTCCTTCCTTCTCTTTCTTTTGTAATCCCATTTTGGGACCAAAAAAATGCGTAAGCATGTTTGAACGGAGGAGACTAATTATGCAGTCTCCACGTAGGTACGAAGATCGAATTCAGGAGAAGTTTAATGAATTTCCTTGGTTCTAGGTAAGTCTCACTTTAGAATGTAAACTTTTTTTTTTAAGTTCTTTCTAAGAAATAGTTTTGCCCTGTGTTGGCCGACAGTCCCAGGACAGTCAGGAACAAGCAGGCGTGAGCAAGAGCTGGCGGCACCTCCTCGTGGTCCGGCTGCCGGGGGTGACACAGGTGCTGCAGCGCCAGCCGCCCCTCAGCCAGGCTGGGTGTCAGGTGCTCCCCCCAGCACGTGGCTTCCAGAAATGAAGACAACTCTCCAGGCCCTCTTCCGGCGGGTGGTCTCAATCCGGCACGTGTTCCACTTCTGGGAGCACCATTGGACAAATATTTGGAGTTAATGGGGAAAAACTTTGATCATAAGATATTGCTCTGTGAAAATGGCTTTCCAATACATTTTTAAAAATACAAAAAAACAAAAACAAACAAACAAACAAAAACATAGCAACCACGTCTTCCAAGAAATCCGTAAGGGCCCAAAGCTATTCAGTTAGCAAGCCAGCCAGTGTGCGACGGAGAACAGGCTAGTATGCCCGAGAGCTCTGTGTGTACAAGCCACCTGAGGGCGCTCCTCATGCCCGGTTCAATTTGCCTTGTTCCGCCTCACCTAGAAGGGGAGAGAGGGAGAATTATTTCTAGGGAAGGGCTTGAGAAACTGCAGCTCTGACACCTGAAGGTTTTGAGTTAATCGGCCGCCCTAGCACACACAGAACAGCTGAGTGTGCCCAGCTGTAGGTGCCTGAGTTCTGGTTCCAGCGGCTTGGGGTGAGACCTGGGATCCTCATCTTAGCAAGTACCCCCTCCTCCAAGGGTGATTCTGACAAGTGTTAGTAAATGTCACCCCGTTTAGGAAGACATTCTGAAGGGTCAGAAGACAAGGCAGTTGAGAAGAGCCAAGGCCTGAGTGTCTGTGGTCAGCCGGGCCTAGGACCATAAGCCCAGCTTGGAGGGGAGCTTGGCCACCTCCCTGTGGCAGCCTCAGCCATGCCCACCAGGGATCCCCTCCAGGTAACAGGGACCACGACTCCTGTCATCTCTGTCTCTGCTGGGGAACATCTGGATGCACAGAGAGGTAAATGAGGCCAAGCACAGGCACTCCGGCTCAGCCTAACAGGGATAGCAGGTGCCGCTGCACTGGCAGAGCCGCTCCGGGAGGACCCCCGAGCACCTTGTGCAGGGCTCAGCCTCCTCCCGGGGCGCAGGCAGCTCTGGTCCAGGCAGCCCCTCTGGTGGGGTGCCGCGCCAGCCCTAGCCAGCAACAAAGCCCATCTGAGCAAAAGAGTCCAGATGCGGGTGGCTTTAGGGGCTTTGGAGAAACAGTACCTTCCCAGTCTGGTCTGGGCCAGCCCCAAGCAAAGCAGCTGCCAATTGGGGAAGTTCAAGTGACAAGTGACCATTGTCCCTTACAGGGCAGTGGGGGGATCCACGAGCTGAAGTGTGTAAAACTGACGGGCAGACCGGCCCGCATCAAAGGGGTCATGGGCAGACCAGCCAGGGGTCACAGGGGCCACAGGGAGACCGGCCAGGAGTCACGGGCAGACCGGCTGGCATTGAAGGGATCCTTCTCCATTCCAGGACTTGTGGGTATCAGCACACCTGTGTGCCCCATGCCTCCTGGGACAGCACCCAGCCCGGTCTCCCTCTGAAGCTGACTCGCCCCACACCTCCTCTCCCTCACGTGGCCGCCTCTGGGTATGGGGAGCAGGCCAGCCTCCCAGGGGCACCATGGGACAGGGACCACAGGATGGTCACTAGCACAGACCCAGCTGTGGTCGGTCCCCCTCCAGAAGCCCCAAGTACCATTGTGGTCACAGCCGGGCTGAGCCCAGGGCCCACCGAGCCTCAGTGGCCCTGCTGCGACCCAGCCTGAGGTCCAGGCCCACAGACAGAGGTCCGAGGGGCTGTGAACTTGGCAGACGAACCTTTCTTCATTTTCACTACGCTCAAAGGGAAGTTTCTCATTTCCTTCAATGATGAGCAGGAGGATAAACCACAGTGGGACAGCGGCTCTGTGATGGCCTCTGGGACAACATGAAAATCACAGGGACCTTCACGTCACGCCAGTCACTGCAGGCACCTAACATACAGTCTTCCGCCCTCCCTACTGGAAAGGCAGTCGCAGACCCGGGCTAGCTGTTCTGTTACTTATTACGCTTCGTGAAAGGCCGGCATAAGTCTCTACCACACGTTTAAAGATATTTTCATATATCGGGACCAGCAGTTAGCGTAGTGTCTATGTGACTGGACTCCCATGTAGCTGACTGTGGCTCAAGTCCCGGACCTGGTGGCTTAAACTCACGCCGGGTGCGTGCATGTGTGCCCAAGATTCTGAGAGGAGAATGGAGGAGAAGGGATTGCGGCGTGGCCATCCCCCCTGGGGGTGATTTCTCACTTTCTGTCTCTCTGTCTCTCTCTGTCTGTCTGGCAAGCACACATGCCCTATAGCAAAAACCTCTCCAAAAATAAAACAAAGATATTTCCATATAAAAGCACCATGGTATATTTGTTTCCTTTGCAATCTTATGTGTTTTACTCATTTGAACATAAAAGTGTTAAAGTTTGGGCCAGCAGGTGGCATAGAGGTAATGGGGACTACTGTGTGGTTTGAATTCCAGACCCAGAGGCTTAAAGATCATGCCGGGCTCATAGGTGTGTGTGCTCGAAATTCCAAGAGGAGAATGGAGGAGGAGGGACTGTGGCATGGCCATCCCCTCTGGGGGGGTGATTCCTCACCTTCCCTCCCTCTCTCTGTCTCTCCCTCTGGGGAGTGCATATGCCCTAGATCTAACTAACTAAATAAAAGTTCTGAGAAAGGGTCATAGGCTTCCTCGTCCTGTCAAAGGGGTCCCTCAACCCGCCTTCAGAGGTTGAGGACCATGGCCGTGACAAGGGATGTGCGATGAGAAGGCTACGAGCCCGCGGAGCCGGCGGCCAAGTACTTACTGCACTGTGACGTTGTAGTACTCCGCGGGCGTCACGATTTTCGGCCCACCGAAGTAGTCCAGGACCCAAATATTGGTTATATTCAGCTTGGCAATGAACCACTGGTGACTGGAAGGCCAGGTTTTCATCTCGGGGTGCCGGATGAACAACGACTGCTTTGCGAAGTCCGTCTCTGCTTCGCCCACCTAAAGGACACACGGGAATGAGCACCTGGGGCAGCGACACGCCTCTGCTGCGTTCAGAAGGTGCGATCCGCCGGTCTACAAACCTCGGGAGGTTAGTTAGTCCAAATCTGATTTTAACGTTAAGGAACCAAAAGAAAAGAAAAGAAGCTTTAAAAAGTGTCGTGCGGGACCAGCCGATGGCGTAGTGGTTACAACGCTGGACTCGCACACAGCGGACCTCAGTTGCTGTCCTGGACCCAGTGACTTGAAGATCATGCCGGGTGCGAGCGCGTGCCCAAACTCCTGAGAGGAGAGTGGAGGAGAAGGGATCGCGGGTGGCCACCCCTGGGGGACACTTTCTTACTTTCCCTCTCACTGTCTTTATCTTCTCTCTCTCCCCCTCTTTTCGGCAAGTGTGTGTACCCTATGGCAAAAACCTCTAAAGAAAAAAAGGAGAGAAGAATAAAGATTTCAAATGTTGGTTAGATACAAGGTGGGGGAGGCATCGTAAGTACCAATTTTCACTGCTTACCAGGATTTTGGAGTTGCCAGAGTAACCAGCACGAGGTACTCTAATTTACAGGTGCCTAAGACATGTAAATAGTATGTTTCCCCCATAACATGCACTCCTTTAACACGCAGATGCATCTACCCGAGGAATAAAAGTCTTTAGAGGAAGCAGTGGAATTCCTCCCCTCCCTCCTGCCAACATAGGGTATCAGCTGCTAGCCCTGTCCAACCACGGATATACCGCGAGCGAGGCGGTGGTGACCGGCACGGTCACAGAGCACGAGCCCTGCCCTTCCCACCATGTTACCGGGCCTCTTTCCTCCAGCTCACTCACCCTGGACCGTCTCAATGCACGGCTGTTTCTACAGTAGTAACAGCTACCCCTCCTGCCGGCCCACTGAACACACTCTGCCCCGGGCTGTTTCTACAGTAGTAACACCCCCCCCCCCAATGAACACACTCTGCCTCGGGGTCCTCATCAGACAGGAGACAGGACCCGCACGGGGAAAACTGTGAAGACATGCCCGAGGGCAGTGGACTTTGGTGGAGCAGAAAATCATGTCAGACGGGAGCTTCAGAAAATAATTTTCCTAGTACACAGCTTATCGAAGAGCTATATGGAAGCGACCGTTCTGATGGAGTGACTTCACACCACAGAACCGTGCACCCGAGTCTCAAATTCATTGCGTTTGGTCTCAGGCGCTCTCTTCATTCACTGGTCACAGACGATGCTCCTCGGAGCCTCCTCTCTGGGGCACGGTGACTGCTTACCTTGGTCACAGTTCCGGACAGCATTATGTGGGCACACAGAGGGCTCTGGGGATCAAATCCATGTTTCCTGCAGAAGTCGGTCTGTGCCAGAGATAAGGTCAGCGTGGCGTACGCGCTCTCCTGCAGAGAGAACACACGAAGCTGCCCCGTGATAGTCTCTGGAAAGGCCCTGGAGCTTGTCAGGTGCACGCACGCCCGCGTCTCCCAGGGAACCCTGAGTGTGTACTGCCGCCTTCCTCCAGAAAAGACACTGCCCGGTACACACTCATTCTGACCCACCCCAGAAAGGGGGACAGAGTTCAAATGAGCCAACTCAGAACTATTTTTACAGTTTTTTCTTAAACTCCAACTCTATTCGACACTCATGAGAGGAATTATGCTAACAGTATCATGCACATTCGAGGCTAGTCTTTGCCTATTTTGAATGATCTAATGGGTTAAACTCCAATAGGACAGCAGCACGTAAACCACCATGGTTGGGGCCACTGGTGGCATGGTGGTTGAGGCAGCTCGATCCCACATGGCCGACTACACGGTTCGAGTCCTGGATCTGGCAGCTTGAGAAAGACACCAGGAGCATGTATGCGTAGCCAACGTCCCCAAAGGAGGGGGAAATGGAGAAGAAGGAATTGCACATGACCATCCCTCGAGGCAGGGTGTTTCCTCACACTTCCTCCTCTCCACTCCCACCCTAATGAGTGCACATCCCCTACAACAAATTAAAACGAAACAAAAAACCCCACAGTTGCTCAACCAGCTATATGGCTATATGCGAGTTAAGCAAGAAAGCAGCTGAGTCACGCTCTCGGTTATCTTACGCTTGCAGAAATTGTCAGGTGACTCAAAATGAAGAAGCTGCTCGTTTCTGCTGTAGCAAAGAGAATTCTTATCTCAGATTCAGGACTTTCTAATTCCTTCATACTCACAAGTTAGCTTCATAAACAGCAAACTCGCATGCAGCACTTCACACCACTGGCTCTTTACGCCCCGCGTGGCTGGGGTGGAGAGTTTTGCCACGGCATAGCATGGGTCGCAGAGACCTCGCTCGATCACCCGCCCAGTTTCTGCTGTCTAGAAACTATTGGACAGGCCCTGGAGGAAACCCCGACAAAGGGGCGGGCTCAGTTAAGGTCTCTCCCACGCCAGCTTATCATCTGGTTGAAAAGTTAGATATAAACAAAACTAAAATCATGCAAAACAGAAGGATGCAGAGGCGGCCAAAGGCAGCTCCTAACTACATAATTGCCAGATAAACACGTGTCCTGCAGTTGGAGGCTCAGCGTAGGACACGCCTGGGTGACAGCGACACAGGGGCCTATAGACAGAACGGAGAAGGAGGGAGAATAAGAGGCAGAGGACCCAGGGCCAGGAAACCTTAAGACACGGTCCAGGGTATACATGCCTTGGCCGTGGGCAGGTCAAGGGAGCTCAGACCTGAGCTGAGGACTCTAGATGCTTCCATCGGTGCTTTCTAAGAGCCGCCTGCCTGGAGAGCTGGTCAGATCGCAGATTCCTGGGCTCCCTTCTCACCCCAGGGATCTGCACTGGGGACCACCCCAGGAGATTCCCACAGCTGTGGGCAGCAGGGATGGGGTGAGAAGGCAACTTGTTAACACGAACGGGTGGGTAGGGTAGACAGGGGTGACAGGAGATCATTTAAGAGTCCTGCTCTTGGGGCCAGCAGATGACATGGTGGTGAAGGCCCTGGATTCCCGTATAGCTGATCAGGGTTGGAGTCCCGGACCTGGCTGCTTGAAAGTCACGCTGGGCGTGTGTGTGCTCCAGATCTCAGGAAGAGGGTGGAGGACAAGGGACTGTGGCATGGCCATCCCTCCCGAGGGGTGACTTCTCATTTCCCTCTCAGCATCTCACTGTCTCTCTTGGGTAGCGCACGTGCCCTATAGAAAAGCCTTAGAAAAAGAGAGAGAGAGAGAGAGTTCCACTTTTAGGCATGAGGTGAGAAGAGCTGGGCCTGGAGAGGGGGTGGTGGGAATAAAGAACGGAGAGGATGGAAGCAAAGAAACAAGGAGAGAAATGGGCCAGGCCTGGGAACTGAGGGGAGACGGCCAGGATTCTGTGTTTAAGCGTGCCAAATCTGGGGGACAGCAAACGAATGAGGCAAACACGAACTGCAAGCATACGAAGACAGACACCTGATGAGGTCAGAGGCAGAGACGAACTTGCAGGTGAATCTAGGCGGGAAGGAAGGGACAGCACGTGTCCGATCTTCCGAGGACCTCACAGAGGACAGAGGTGATAAACGGTCTTCAGAGGGTAATCGTTTATAGCGGCCAGAGAAACGGGGTGATGAGAAAAGAGAGGGACATGTCACAGGAGAAATGTGCCAAGAAGAACGGGAGGCCGATCATGAGAGGTCTTGGTGCATACATGCACATATACACACACGTGCACACACACACACACAAACACACACACACACACAATCAGCCTCAAAATTGTATTTGGCTCAGGGGCTCTGTAGTCCAGCTTGGTGTCACCTGCTGAATTACGGACACCTTCTGGTAAACATGTACCATACAAAATGCCACCACCCTGTCTCTGAGGTACCCAGGACAGGCATTTTACACAGAAGTGGTTCCAAGCCGAGGCCTTGAGTCATGATGCATTTTCGCAAAGAAAGACAGAAAAAGTATGTCATGACTTTTCCAACCACCCAACAGAATCCCCTGAACGAGAAGCCAAGGTGTACATCCCAAGTCAGGAGGAGGAGGAGGAGAAGCATGGCCCGGTTTGACCGGTTAGTGGCGGATGGGAGGGAGGCTGTGGCCACACTCTCCCACCTGCACAGTGCCCAGTCTCGGTCTACAGAGGGGGAAGACCTGGGCAGGTGCCCCATTTGACAGCCACCAGGGGCTGTTCACAGGTGGTTTGTCCCTGCACCCGAGACCTAGTGTCCTCATTCCTGCAACGGAGGCGGCAGCCCCAGCTGTCCCCTCACCTCCTCGTGAGGTTAAATACGGCCTTGCACACCAGAGGATCTCAATCTCCCCCACACCCACACCAGAGGCATCAGGGAAGAGTTCTTGGGGGAAGAGGGGATGTTATTTTAGGATAAAATGTGTTTTAATAAAAACGTTTTGGCATTGCACTTCAACAGTCTTCCAGGTGACTCAATTTGCAGCCAAAGCTGCGTGTGACTGGAGTGGACGGAGTTTGTGTTGAGCAAATGCCTAGAGGGCAGAGTGGTCTGAGAATGGGGAACTGAGGAGCTGGGGTGTGTGTGCCTAGGCTGGGGGGCATTGCTTCTGCTTTCGCTCAAAGATTGAGAACTCCAGTGTCACACCAGATCCTCCACTTTGTCCACATAAGTTAGAAATGTAGACTCGTAAGTAAAATCTCTTTAAAAAATTCAAACTTGGGACCAGCAGTTAGCGTAATGGCTATGTCGCTGGACTCCCACGTAGTCGACCGCGGTTCGCATCCCGGACCTGGTGGCTTAAAACTCACGCCAGGCACGTGTGCGTGCGTGCCCAAGATCCCGAGAGGAGAATGGAGGAGAAGGGATTGCGGCGTGGCCATCCCCCCTGGGGGGTGATTTCTCACTTTCTGTCTCTCCGTCTCTCTCTCTATCTGGCAACCGCATGCGCCCTATAGCAAAAACCTCTCCAAAAACAAAAATTCAAACTTACCAAAACAGGCCAGAACACTGAGTGAGTTAATCGAAATGTATCTGAGGGACATGGGCCGCCAGCCTGTGACGAGAGGCGAGATGAGGGTTTGGCCATTGGCTTTGGCAGGTTACTTAACCTGAGCCTCAAGTTCATCTGCAAAATGGAGATACTAATGCCCACCTCACAGAGTCCATGGATGAGCACAGAATGGAAATGAAAGGGCTTGGCTGTCCCTGGCATAGCCGCTGCTTAATCAAATGTCAGAGGCGTCCTCATTTCATCAACAATGCTGTACTTTCTCAGCAAATCTCTGAGATCTTTGTCCCCCCAAAACCCCTCCACATCAAAGCAGGCTCCATCCCAGGCCTCTGTAGGGTTCTAGCCACCACCCAGTGTTTCTGAACCCCCCCGCCCCAACCTTGCTCAGGACAGCAGAGGTCCCGCGGGGTTGAGGCTTGACCTTGTTCTAGAACATGGGCCAAGGGTGAAGGGGACAAGCTTCCAACCAGGTGTGCTTCCTGGAGACCTAAGCATTGCAAAGGTCACCTAAAGATTGCAAAGGTCACTTTTTTTGAATGAAGTGAGCATTTCGCGAATACAGTGAAATGGTGTATTCGCCTCTCGCTGCAGAAGAGAACATTCTTAACCCAGGAGATGAGGGAGGAGAAACCGCGGAGTTCGGGTGCAAAGAGCCTAACTGCCCATGTAAGCCCTGCAAACCACTAACGAAGGGAGCCCAGCTGGCAGAGCCGCCGCGCCCCACCAGGGACCACCCACGCCCCCCCGGTGAGAAGTTCCCCCAAAGGCGCCGCCAGAGCAGGGGGAGTGCGTGACATTGCGGGACCTGAGCTGCCCAGCCCCAACATCTCCGGGCGCCCCGCGCGCTCACCTGCAGGTCGCTCACCAGCACCTGCATCGGGCTCAGGTACATATACGGCACGCCGCTGCCCTTGCCCGGTGGCCCGTCGCTGAGCGAGAGGACGTCGACGAAGGGACGGCCTCGCACCTCCGGCAGCGTGGAGATCGTGGCCAGCGCGCCCCAGTCGCATACATGCGCCACGAAGCGGGCCACGCGCGCCGCGTCCTCCCGGGGCGGCAGCGG